AATTAGAAGTACAAAATGAGGATTTGTAAAGAAGAATGTCGGAGGATTTCGATATAAGCCAAGAGGAGACTGGTTTTCCTTTGCTAAAGTAAGGAAACTTTGCTTCCTTTGCTCCTGTAAACAAATGTTGGTTTTCACGAGACGATCTTACGTCATCCTCCCTGAGCTGCTTCCGTGTACAACTGTTGGCGCAAGCTAGATTAAAGTGATGATTACGTTTTGAATATTTTTCTTACAAAAACGCATCCCGCAGCCGTGTGGGGCACTTTTTTATCATGGATGCACTTTATTTCACTTCTTTTGGACTGATGAACTGCAACACCCGCTGACTGCCAATAAACAGCTTGGAAGATCAAAGACAATTTTTAATATAACTCCGATTGGATTCATCTGAAAGAAGGAAGTCATATACGCCTAGGATGGCTTGAGGGTGAGTAAATAATGGGCTAATTTCATTTTTGGGTGAACTACCCCTTTAAGTGAAAAGGGAATGTTTACTGCAACTGGATTTTGGAAAATCATTCTTAATTAAGATTTAATTATGTAAATGCATTTGATACTAGGGATGTTCAAAACTATTTTCAAATCCAACTAGTCAGTGGGTAGTCAGAACAACTAATTGACTAGTTGGTCATAAAGCTGGCATGAAATGAAAAATCAATTTTTTAAATTCATGTTATAGAGCTTATTGTGAACGATTGATCCATGTATGTTTTATTTAAAATATACAGAAATTATTACAGCTATGACTGTTGATTATGATCGTGAGATTATTCACAATTTTTATTTCAATTATAGTTTCTTTTCATGATTATACATTTAAAGGGGTCATATGATGCGATTTCAATTTTTCCTGATCTGTAAAGTTGCAAAGACTAAAGTCTCAAATCGAAAGAGATTTTCTTTATAAAAGTTAAGAGTCAACCACGCCTACCTAAGAATCTGTAATTATGTCCCCACTGGAAATTCCTCGTTTATAATGGGTTTTAATGTTTTTGTCTCGTCGCTCCGGCCGGGACACGAGTACTGTTATGGTGGACATAATTTATATAATACAGGTGGGCATGTTGCGCATTATTTGTGTATTTCTAGAACCATCTCCCAAGCCCCATGTGCTGTCTACTATCAAAGATCAAGAGCCCGTATTTGATCAGAACACCTCTTATCCCTCAAACCCATTTGATGAGGCTGACACAGATATGGATTCTTCTCAACACGGGAACCCGTTTGACGAACCTGAACCCGAACCCCAGCCTAAAGTATCTCCACCCAGAAGCAGCAAGAGAAAGAACGTCCGTCTGGTGGACATGAGCAAATACCTGTACGCCAACATAACCAGGACAGAGGAGGAGGAGCTAGATGAGTGAGTCAAGGAATTCTGGGATATTCTGTGGGAGGGGCTGTGGGTTACAGCAGATCAATTTAAGTGATTATTTTTGAGTTATCAACACAGTTCTGTAACTAGGGATGTAACGATTATAGATTTTGTTGGTACGATTATTGTCTGAGAAATAATCACGATTTCACGATTATGACGATTATTATGCATTTATTCATTTCACAAATTTATTAATGTTTAAAATCGCATGGACACTCTTTAGATAATAAAGTGTTATTTATTGCTGCCTTTAAAAACAGAAATATCACAGTAACCAATAATACAGCACAACATAATAATAATAAAGACAAACAAATGTCTATCTCTTCAATTGGAATTAAAAAGGTGACCTCTGATCTGTAAACATCCATGTCAGTATTTCCCTTTTGAAAATAACTAATGAAAATGAATCACAAAAGTATTTAGTGTTTTCAGTTTGTACATTTTTTATGTTTCTTTTGGACCTGAGGCAGAAAACTGGAAACATGGTGAAAAAAAAAAAATTCTTGTTGGTTTTTGACTTAAAGTATTGCATAATACTATAAAAGGGATAATATATAACAATGTTAATGAGTATTATTGATATAGGACTATTAACTTTATTTATCCCACAGGGGAAACTATTAATAATGAGGGGAATAAACTGAACTATCATTGTAATCAACTGTCATCCATACATATTCATTTTAATAATTTTTATAATCATATGATTTTACATGTGGCCTGAGAAAATCATGTCTATTATTTTGGTTTGTGAGATCGGAGATCGCACTGCGCACACATACAAACATTCAGGAGGACACAAACTTGTTCTGAACCCTGTCCTGTGACTTTTATTAATAAAATAGCTTAGATACTGAATTGCTACATATTCATCAGCAAGGAGAGGGTAAAATCACTGTTCAACTGTTCTGTTCTGTGCAACAGAAACACTCGGTGTAGCGGAGCCTTTACGATTAATTAACCGTGACATTTTAAAGCGCGGTTAATTGTGAAACCGGTTAATTGCTGCATCCCTATCTGTAACACACAAAATTTGTTCTACTACTGTTCATTAGTAGTGTGTGTGTGTGTGTGTGTGTGTGTGCTTGTTTGAGCGAAGGAGAAAAGCACTTGAGAAGAAAGTGGTGAGCGAGTTCTTTCAGTAGGAACAAGGCTTCTGTTGTTTCCCACATTCTTTGGGCTTGTCTGTTCATCTCTGCATTTCTCTCGTCCCTCACTCACTCACAGTGCTCCAGCAGGGACACACGTTTCCAAACCTGGCATTATATAGAGAACATGAGAGCAGAGGAGGATGCATTTTTAAAGCTGAAGTGTTTCTAAAGGGTTTCATTTTTCCAATGTTAAAATGCTGTCACTTTCTACTACAGCACCTACTGGCCTGTCAGTCCAGTAATGCCAAATTTTCACTGGCACCACCACAAAAGAATTATTTATTTTTATTTTTAGCAGTGCATAAAAAAAAAAAAAGTATATATACACAAACACACACACACTATGTTTAAAAGTTTGGAGTCGGTAAGATTTTTTAACATTTAGCATTACATTTTCAGAATTTTTTGATGAATAGAAAGTTCAAAACAGCATTTGTTTAAAATCTTTTGTAGCATTATAAATGTCTTTACTGTTTTGTTCAGTTTAACAGATCCTTGCTAAATAAAAGAATGAATTTCTTTAAAAATTAAGCTTAGCTTACTGAAAATTACATATTTATATTAAATGTTGTAAGGATGTTGTACATGAGACATAAAAAAAAATTGCCTACTCAGATCTCTCTAATACCTTCTTTTTCTGCTTTCTTTTCACTCTCCTTCTCTCTCTCTCTCGTCCTCTCGTTCACCTCCATTTGTTTTGACTGCACTTTCCACTTCTTTCTTTTCTTAACTTGTTTGCATTGCCGTCAGCTCTTTCCTACCTCCTTTCTCACTCTCACTGTCTGTAAGCTTGTGATACTTTGTGTCTTTAACCTTGTCTTTCAGCTGAATACCTGCTCAGTCTTTTCTCAACTCTGGCGCCTCATTGTGTGTGTGTATTCATGTACATGTGTGTGTGTGCGCCTGTGATGAGTGATAAGCCTTTACACAGCAGTGTATTGATGCCAGCGGACGTCTGTGTCTGCCTGTCAGTGAGCTCTCCGACGAGGCCACAGGTTAAAGTTCATGAGGTGTGACCTCTGGAGCACCTGGTCCTTCTCGAAGTCAGCAGAGCGTTTTATTGGCTAATAATGTTTGCTAATGCCTCCTCTACCTGAAGACAACAACACACACACATTTGTCAGCATAATATTACAGACAAGTGGAAAGGGGTAGAAAATCTACATGTGTTAAACTAGCTAAGTATGCTAAATTGACAATTACCTGTTGAGTGAACGAAAACACAGATGTCCCATTTCTACTGTGATTCACCAGTTTGCTTGTTTAAGCTTTTTTTTGCTGATATGGCAGTTTGTTCTTCCACTCTCAGATCAAACCCATTCTATGAGCCCAGAGCCTCCAGTGCAGCCTCATCTACCGCAGACAGCAGCACCTCAGAGAAGAGCACCAAACGCCGGGCCCCTCTGCCTCCCAGTGCTGGACCCAATCCTGCTGTGACCCCTGGAGGACCTGCACCAAAGACTTCAGCTCCTGGAGGAGCATCCACTCCGCCTTCTCTGGCACCCTCAGCTGTCACAGCTGTGATAGGGAGAGAGTTGGCCTCGTCCTCACCTAAGGTATATCTTCCTCACCACATTATGACTCTTTCATTTCCAATAGAGTATGATGTTAGTGTGTTGTTGTGTTAAAAAACATGCTCTAGTAAGCATGGAAAAACAAATTGGGGAGAAATAGTCAGTTTTTACATCTGGTATTGGTATTAAATAAAATATAATTATCTTTTTCACGTTATCAGCCATCTTTGTTGAGTTTAACTGAGCTTGTCCTAATGCATTCTGGGATTGTGATGCAATGCAGCCTTAGATTTTGGTCAAAGGAAGGAAGAAAAAAAAACACACAAAGTAGTTTATAAAAAAAAAAATTCTTATTATTGTTGATGTGAAAACATTTGTGCTGCTTAATATTTTTATGGAAACCATGACATATTTTTAGGATCTTTGATGAATAGAAAGTTCAAAAGAACAACATGATTTTGACAGAAATCTTTTATAACATTATAGTCTTTACTGTCATTTTTGATCAATTTAATGTGTCTTTTCTGAATAGAAGTATCAATTATGGGTATTTCCCATTACAGGATCTTTATTTTGGTCACTCTTTTTTCCAACAGTGCCACATTTCTTGGTTTCTCCTTTCACTTCTCTTTTTGACATCCAGGACCACTTACTCCATCCCTCTCATCTTCTTTCTGTCCTCTTCCTGCACGCTTCACTCCAAACATTTGAATACAGGCATGTATTAGCTGCTCTGTAGGATCGTTATATATGCATTATGATTCTCTTCACTCAATGCTTTAGTGAGTCTAATTAACTCGCTCTGCGGTCCCTCACTGGCTGAGGGTGTGGGGAGTAGGGTGCAGGGGGCGAAGGGAAGCCCACCAAGTGTGAATGAGAGCGAGGCGTCGGGCTGCTGCAGAGGGGCTTATACATGGCCAGATTAAATCCCCACAGGCCGAGTGTTTTTATTTATGCCTGCGAGTGTGTGCGTTATAATGTAGTCCATATTTAATTATAGCGAGGGTTTTATCACAGCTAGCACTTGTGTGTGTGTCCATGCCTGAGAAGTCCTGCCCAACTTAAACATTTAATTACCCAAATTCAGTGGCCTGTGAGGACACACACACACACACACACACACACACACACATAGACATCAGGAAAATAAGCAAATTTCCTCAGAAACAGAAAGTGGTGTCCAAGTTTCAGCTCATGGATACATGGATTTGTGCTCTAAATTGCCCAGTGAGTGTGCCGCTGGACTCAGACCAGCTCAGTCCAATTAAACATAGAGTGATTGGTCCATCTGAATTATTTCAGTATTCAGTATTTGATCTGAGATGTCACGTTTCCAGCAGAACCCTATTTATTCTGATCATGTGCTCCCTCAATGTCTATCCCTAACGCACTCGGTACGGATTATGATTCCATTCTTTCCCTGTATGCGGAGGTTGTTTCCTCTGAGTGTGGTGTATAAGATGACCTTAGCATGAATAAAGTCAAATGGGATTAACTGGAGACACGCATGCACTATGGCTTCACATTCAGAGTAAAGATATGGGGAGGCCCAAAGGCCTTGTTTATGACTTTTCTATGTGTATTTATGTTGTTGCTAGAGGAACCCCCTTGCATGCTCGTAGACCTGAAGTGAGGCAGAAGGTGCTGGTTGAAAAACAAATGAATAGGACGCTGCGATAATCTCCGAATACACAAAAGAAATGGAAATGTTGAAATTGCCGTAGTTCATGGATTAGAGCAGCCCTGAAGACACACATTCACAGAGTCAATCTGGGGGGCGCATGGTAATGTCATCATGGTTTTGTAAACAATCTGGGATAGGTTTGAATATTGTCTAAAGGGCGCTACCTTTGGTTTATCATCATTCCGCTAACACAGCCTGTTCTTTGAGTAGGGCCCTATGATTTCCGCGATATGGAAAATTCGGATGGAATCCCGGAATCCAGTCATAAAAACAAAATTTACTGTATAACACGGAACGGAATTTGCAACATTTTGGATGGATAAATCAAAAGTTGGTCAGTACACATAAATTAAAACGTGATATGGACTAGTGTCTGTGAATATTAAACTGCAAAAATACTATTTAAATATGAATCCTGTATGTTCTGCTCTGAGAATCACTTCATGAGCATTTGTACCATTTCTTTCGAGAAAAGCGTCTCTGACGTAACCTTGGCTCCCTGAAATGAGGGAACGAGACATCGCATCAGATGCTGACACATTGGGGTAACACCTTTCTCCTAGAAACACTGAAGCCTGATTGAATAATGCTATTGCGATGCAATAGCCAATGGCGTTCAAGCGCGAGAATGGGGGAGCTGCAACGCCCCCTATTTAATGCGTTGCTTGGCGCCATTTCCTTAGAATCTTTCATTTGAATAAGCAAGCTACGAATAACCATGTGCAGAAGTAACACGGCATGTTTGCAATGTCTCGTTCCCTCATTTCAGGGAACAGAGGTTACGTCAGTAACCGGAGATGTTCCCTGTCAATATCGGTCTCTCGACGTCGCATCAGATGCTGACGCATTGGGGAATGTGTCAAATCACGCCGTCTTACTGCAAAGGGTTCTCAGCATAATGGGAGCGGATAGTTCTAATATGCTTGCACATTACTATGTCATATGACAGAGCCATGGTGGTAAGTTGCATAAGCATATATATTCAAGTAATTCTCCAGTGTTAGGCACACATAGACGTGCGATACCGGACCTAGTTGAGCACCATTATCTCAGAGGTTCAGCATATGAATTGGTTAGGCGGCGGCAGCGCCACCTCATTATGACGCTTTTATGCTATCGGACCTAGTTAAAACATGCACCAAAGAGGGGAGGGGCCCCTTACTCAGCCGCTCTAGTGCGTTCATTGAGCAGTACAAGGGAAAGGAAGCGGTAAGCCCGGTGCTTGTAAATGTTGTAACCATAACTCGCCGATGAAAGGGGCCAGTGGCCGCTCAGTGAGTGACAAAAACGGTGACGATCATGGGATATGTAGTGCACATGGCCGTAAGACAGCTCGCCAAAACTAAGCCACTAGCCCCTGTTCATTAATAGAGCGCAGAAATATAATTTAAGTGGACTGACCGGCCTTTACGGTGATTGCAAAAATGAAGTAGCGAGTCCCGGTTCATTACTATAACATTAGGGATATTAAGCTATACCTAAAGCACTGGAATGGCGCAACATAATAGTTCCAATCCGCTGCAACAGGAGTCGGCTTGGGTGGGTTGGGTGGGTCGCTGCCATCGCCTCCCTGTTGTGATGAATGCAGCCTAGCGGACCTAGTTGAAACACCACAGACAAGAACAGGGGGCGGGGGCAACCAGCCACTGCGGCCATGTATTGTAAGTGAAGCAGCATAGCGATTGGTTTGAGTAGCAGCAAATAGCAAACTGAATGGGCTACATACCTTAAGCTTAGCTCTCCTGTACAGACAGAATCCGAGAGGCTAGCGAAGAAACATCCAGATTATAGAATCTGGCAAAAGTGTTAGATGAAGCCCATCCCACTGCAGAATGTCCTCAATGGTTATTCCGTTTACCCATGCCCATGACGAAGCGATCCTCCTTGTAGAGTAGGCCCAAAGACCTATAGGGCACTCCACATTCTGTGAACTGTAAGCCAGAGTCATTGTGTCCACAGTTCAATGGGATAGCCTCTGCTTTGAGATAGGCAGCCCTTTATTGCGGCCACCAAAACAGATGAAGAACTGCTCAGAAAGTCTTAGCTGTCTAGTGCATTCAACATAAACGCGTAGAGCTCGTATGGGACAGAGTGGTTGTGGGGGGGGGGTGCGACTGCTGACAGAGTTATAACCTGGGCTCTGAATGCTCTGAACGGTGTTGAGAGCACTTTAGGGACATAACCCTCCCTAGGTTTGAGAACAACCTTGCCTTCACTGGGGCCAAAATCCATGCAGGAGTTAGTTGACTGAGAGTGTGTATGTCACCCACACACTTCACCGAAGCGAGTGCTAGCAAAAGTGCAGTTTTAAAAGAGAGAATTTTTAATGAAATCGACTGCAGCAATTTCTCCTTATGGAATGCTGATATAGCGGCGACGTATACCTTGAGCATGGAAGGCGCTGTCACCATCTAAGCACTCTTGCAAGAAGGAGAGAATAACTGCAGTCAGGCAATTCACAGGGTCTTCTGTCATTTAATTGCACCAGTTCTCAAAGTCCCTCCATTTATGAACATACAGACCCCTTGTAGAAGGGGCTCTCACTTCAGCAATAATATTCAGCACGCGCTGAGGGAGTGTAGCTACTGGCGAGCTTCGCTGAGCGGCCAGATGTGCAGATCCCATAATTCTGGATTAGGATGCCAGATCGAGCCTCCCGCTTGAGACAGGAGGTCCTTCCTCAATAGGACTGTCCTGGCTGGCCCCGTCAGCAGTTCTAGCAGGTCTGGGAAACAGGGCTGCGTGGGCCATTTTGGCGTGACCAGCAGCATGGTTTCCTCCTCCTCCCTGATCTTGCACAGCAGTTGATGGAGGAGTTTTACTGGCCGGAACGCATATTTAGCATATAGAGAGAGTCGAGGCTCACACCCAGGAATGAAATACATTGCATGGGTTGGAGTTTGCTTTTTTGAAAATTGATCATAAGCCCCAAACACTGTAGGTGGTTGGTAAGCATACGCCTGTGAATGTCCAGTGCGCGCTCTCTGAATGAGCCATATGCAGCCAGTTGTCCAGATAGTTTAGAATGCGTGCTCTGTTCATACGTCGAGGGGAGAGAACGGCATTCATGCACTTTGTGAATGTGCATGGGGCTAATGACAGGCCGAAGGGGAGGAAACTGGTATGCAATTCTCTCAAATGCAAATCTCAGAAAGCGCCTGTGTCGAGAGGCTATCTGGATATGGAAGTATTCGTCTTTGAGATCCACACAAACGAATCAGTCTCCTGGCCAAACTAGCAGGAGGATTTGTTTTAAAGTAATCATCCTGAAAGAGCACTTTGCCAGGGCTCGATTCAGTTGGCGCAAGTCCAGAATAGGGCGGAGCCCGCTGTCTTTCTTGGGAACCAGAAAATAACG